CCTTCCTTCCTTCCTTCCTTCCTTCCTTCCTTCTTGCAGTCTTTCCTTCGAGGGCTTGGTTTCCAGCCCCCTGATCATCCTTGTCACCCTACTCTGAATTTCCAGTTTGTTGCCATCCTTCTTAACGTGTGATGTCCAGAATTGGACACAGGACTCAAAATGGAAAGAGAGAAGAAAGAGAGAGAGAGAGAGAGACTAATTTCTCTGCCATTTTTAATTGGGTGGCCAGTGCTGGCCGTTGTGGTGAAACCACACAACCTCCACACCAAGCATCAACAGCAGCAAAATGGACTATGACAGACGGGTGCACCCCCTCCCTCCGTAACTACACAATCACTGCTTTAGCTGTTACCATGATAGCTTTTACACAAGAGACATTTGGTCCTACAGATGTTGTTTTATGTAGAAATAGAGAGCGGAAAGGCAAAGAACATTCTGATCTAGGTCAACTTGGAGAGGACCAATTTGTAATTCCTTAAACCTACTCGAGAAGGGAGAGAAAAAGTATTCTACAGAAATAAATTGAAGACCAGAGGCAAGAAAAATCTCTTGTCTACATAAGTAGGGACAACATTGTCTTTTGTCATTTCTCCTCACCCGGACCTTTTTCTTAGAAAGGACTTCTTTTTTTTCTTTTTTTTTTAACTTCAGCGGTCACTTTGAAAGCAGGGACAGCTTTGTTATCCTCACCGAACTGTAAAATAGATTTGGAGGATTTCCCTCTGAAGAGCAGCTACAGGGACACTAAATGAAGGCTACACTCCCGTGAGGAGGGCTGCAGGCCTGCCACCGCTCTGGTGTGGCTCAGATGGGCATCCAATGGCCACACTGACACCAATATGAGACCAGTAGCAGGCATCACGCCACTAAGCCGTGGACAGGTTAGAGACGGATGCTGCCAGGAGAGCTGGCCGAAGGGCGAGGGGTGTGAGGTTTAAAAAGGAAAACTGGAAAGCAGGCGGTGGAGAAGGAGGAAGAACCGGACGACGCAGAGGTCGAATGGGAGGAGATGGCCGGAGAAGGCCGGGCGTCCAGCCGAGTGCCAGGGCCAAACTGAGCTGTGAGAGGGAACAGCGGCAAAGGGGCAGGGCTGGGCTCGCCGGGAGGGAGCCGCAAAAGAGGGAATCGGCTCAGCCGTGAGAAAGAGGGCTTCCCTCACCAACCCCAGAGACAGCTAGGTTTCGAGAACAGCCAAGAGCGTGCCAGTGCTGGCCTAGCGGGTGGCGGCGGGACTGGCTCTTGCAAAGTATAAGGAGTCCCTACTTCACTTCCCACTCCCTTAGGTTGGTTATCTATCTATCTATCTATCTATCTATCTATCTATCTATCTATCTATCTATCTATCTATCTATCTATCTATCTATCTATCTATCTATCTATCTATCTATCTATCTATCTATCTATCTATCTATCTAAGAACAAAAGAACATAAGAAGAGCCCTGTGCTGGATCAGGCCAAGGGCCCCTCTAGTCCAGGTTCCTGTGTCTCACCGTGGCCCCCACCAGATGCCTCTGGGAGCATATGAGATGACGAGATCCCCGTCTCCTGATCTCCTTCCCCTGCATCTGGCATTTTGAAATACCTTCCTTTAAAGTCTGGAGATTATACATCCCCATCATGGCTTGTAATCTGCAATGGACTTTTCCTCCAGAAATTTGTCCAATCCCCTTTGAAAGGCATCTAGGCCAAATGGCATCACCACATCCAGTGGCAAGGAGTTCCACAAACTAACATCCATCCATCCATCCATCCATCCATCCATCCATCCATCCATCCATCCATCCATCCATCCATCCATCCATCCATCCATCCATCCAATCGACATTA